GTGTCGACGAGCTTTTGATGAAGCTTCTTCCCGCGCACTGACATCACTGTTGGCATCCACTGCATAGGCGTGAAAAAGTCGACTAGGTTCGACACTGGACCCGTGCAGTTCCTAATCGATCCCGCCAACCGTCAGTTCGCAAACGTCGCCTGGAAAGTCAGCTAGAGCTCACATGAACTCGCGTGAAATTTTCAGCGCCTTTCCGACGAGCGGGTGCTCTGTAGAATCCGTGCGCGTACCAAACACGATCGTCAGCATGTTATTGAGCGAGCACCGCCCAGCATGCGGCTGAGGGTTGATCGGCGCGCGTCCCGCCTGTCCCTTCCTGTACAGCTCTTGGACCATCACGGTCGCCTCCTGGTCAAGTACGCCCGTATACCCATTGACCGAACGCTGGTTCAGCCAGCCAGTCGCAAGACGGCGGTGTTTGCGCCTAAGCGATTGATCAGTATTGTGTCGCGACAGGCAAAGTGTGCTTAGACGCACCATCTGTCGTTGTATGGAGTGGCGGTAATGCCGCGCCCCACGAAGACGAGTTGGCTCTTGACGAACATCTCTTTGCGAGAGGAGAAGACAGAGCCGTTGGTCACCATGAGGTCCTTGGCAATGCCTGGGTCAGAGACAACAACAAAGAGCTGGTTCCCGAGCCACATCGAATAGAGTGGGCCAAACTTCTTGCGCCAGTAGTCGAGCGTCAGCTCAGGGTAGTGCGTGAGGAATGGGAATGAGCCTGTAAATGAAGAATCAGCAGGTTGCGGCAGGGATGCGGCGGGACGACAGACCGACGAGGGGGAGGCCAATGGGGCCATCGGGGATGGGGTTGCCGTCCTTGTCCCGGGGACGACGTCCAAAGGGATCGTATTTGGTGAAGTGGGGGAGGAAATATAAACTGGCGAGGAGCAGCACGGCTATTGCAGTCAATCCCGGACTCAGGACTTGGTTAAACTCAGTGAGCCCAGAACTTAGACCGAGCCTGGGAAAGGCTGAGGCAGCAGGAGAAGGGTAGGCGGACATGTTGTGTTGGTTCTGGGTCAAGTAGTAGGGTTCTGGAGTGCTGAGTGCTTGCCCTGAGGAGGTCGAGGTGGTGTAGACAGGCGTTGCTTGTCTGGCTAGATTGCCAATGCAAGTCAGATCTTTATACGAGGACAAAACACCGCTTAAAGTCGATGGAGTCCACGAAACAATTCTGCCGCGACATAATTCCTCGTATGTGTATGCAAGATGCTGGAGATGGACCCGCAAGCATTGGCGTGTTGGTCGTCACGGCCGTTGCAGTCGGAGCGGCTACATTAGGCAGTTGATTGATCCATTGAAAGCGCAAGAAGCATCTTCGGGCTCGCCACCAAGCGCTTCAAGCGTTCCATGGCGCACATCACTTACTCCAAGAGATCGATGCATGTTCAAGTATCCGGCTTACAGACGGCTACTAGTAGAGAGGTCACACTAGACACTTTGAGCCCCAAGTTACATTTGCATTTAAAAGATGACGAAGAATCTCACTGGAATGCTCTGCCTTACGCTCGGGTTTCACTGGGCACAACAATTGCGAAAGACCTTGTTCTAACTCGGGTCCAATCTAATCATTCGAAGCCAGGGGTGGAAATGTTTTTGAGCGGATCAGCATCCTCATTTGTCATTGAACTTCAGAGCTCACCCTCTCTGAACGGATCAACTTCCCGCGTTATAGGAAACTGCACCATTGAATGCAAACTCCGGATACTACGTAGGATTTCACCATCAATTTGTTATGTCTATCTGGCTGGTACGTTGAACCAAGGTAGATTGCAAGAAGTCTTCGATCTGTAAGATTTGAGCGAAAATACGAAAGTGGTTGCGTTCAAACAGAGAATCGAACGTGAAACGGTCACGGACGCGTGGCGCGATCGCAGTCTGTAGACTTGAATGCGCACTTGAGCGCTTCACTTTCCTTGAAGCACCCACACGTGGACGGTGCTGATTCGAGACTACGACGTTCTACACCTCCTCCACAAAGCCTAATGCTAACCACTATTAGGCACTATTTTTCCATTTAATCACGTCCATAATGTCTCCTCATGTTCAGTCACTCGCTCATCGCGCCAGAATATCATCTATCGTGTCATCTCTGCGACCTACTGGCCTTCGCACATCCGTAGTGAACTTGACCGCTCACAGAATCCCGACCTTGTGGACTCTCTATCGACGACTATTGAGGGATTCGCCCTCAGAGGAGATACAGTACGTTTCGTTTGGCTTCTTGCATGGTATTGCCTGAGTGTGCTTCAAGCTAGATGGAGAGTTCGCAAACTGTTTCGCCGTGACAAGTCGCTGCGGAAGCCGACGGAAATCCGAAGAGCATTGATGTCCTACCATAGAGCAAGTTTCGCAGTCTTTTCTGCTCCATTCCGTGGCTAACCTGAACGTGTACGTCACAGTGGGCTGATGCGTTTGCTGCTACCAAACAAGGCGACGCGCGATGGCAGGCGGTGTTCCAGCGTTATACAAGAATGCTGCATGCGATGGTGAGAAAACGGCGAATAGTGAACGCTGTTCTGGATGATATTGTACGTGTGCTCCATGTTGTTGACTGGACGTGATGTTCAATCAAGTAGGAATGGAGAAGGAAACTCGCGAACCGGCCTATCTTGACGGGGTCTTACATGCGCCCTTCGTGGTATCACGGACCTCTCCCTCAGATGAAGCCATTGCCTATCCATGTTCGAGCTATGATCCACTCCCGGCGCATGAGTCGAGAAAAACGAATAATCGAGTTCTTAGAGCTCAACCAACGTAGAGAAGAGCTGGTAAGAGAAGCTCAGTTCGAAGAAGCTCTTGCGCGCATCGCTGAGGAAGATGGAGCGACTTTAGACACGGTATTTCATCGTCATCAGCACGAATGGGGTAAGGTCTTCACAAGCCTCATATACAACACTCCTTACATCCTGTTCTCGACTTACCTTCCAGACAAGCCTCTTGTAACACGCATATCAGAAATTCACGAGACATTTAAGCGCGACGATGCCCGACTCTCGACGCCTTATAGCCCAGAGATGCTCAGAATTATCAAACAGGCGCGACGAGAGAAGATAGCGAACAAGACTCGTGAACTGGAGCGCGAGCGTCGTGGCGTTATGACGCCTAGGAAGTTGCGCAGGCAGCGACAGGGCCCGCCCTCCCATGTTCTGGCAAATTTGACTGACCGGCAGAAGCATATGGACAAAGTGGCGAGAAGTGTAAGCGAGATAGGCTATGTTGCGCAGGTGAAGAAAGCGCTAGGCTTCAAGCTGCGAAATGCAGAGGCGTGGGACGTCGAGGATGGACCACCGGGGGACCGGCCGCGTTTGGATCGAATGCTACAAGAGATTGATGCAGAAAATTTGCGACGCAGGGCGAAGTGGGAGGAGAATGCTGCAAGTTAGCTCGCGATATGCCTTTACTAAGAATTCCTTAGAGCAGATCTGTGAGGTGCGCTTCTACGAGACACCTCCTGGCTCCCACCTCATCTTTAAATCCTAAAGCTGACTTTGTCGCTACCTCTGTATGTCGGTGTCTTTGTCCTATCTACCATGGAACTGTTCAGTCTTTCGAACACGAATGCATTACTGTGATGAGCTAGTTCATTGTGAGCCATATTGTGGACGACGGGGTTTATTTGATCATGATCATGAACGTTGTGGGACCGGCAAGTCCTCCTTGCGCTATGACGGGACTCGGCATGCCAAAAGCGGGGCGAGCAGGCCTATATTTGGCAGGCGTGGTCAGTTGAGCACCACCGCGACTGACATCAGAGTGACGCAGCTCTCCTCAGCCCTGCGAGGCATAAGTCTATAAATCATCTCCCGTTGTGCTCAGATGCTCTCACAACCGTCTTTCCATCATTCGCACTTGATAATCGCTCTCGTACCATATTCCCCTTAACATGGATACCACCCGCAATGACTTCCACCACGCACACTCTGGAAGGGGTGGCGACGAGGAACAGATGTCCAAGAAGGGGTACCAAGTCGTCGACAGACCTCCGGTGACGGACCATGACATTCACGACGAATATCTCAAGCATCCCCCAAACGTAAGTTTCTCCTCGTACGGTGGCGATGTCATGTTCCTGATAGTGACTTTGCCTCAAGAATCAGCCAACGGAGCTCATGACCAACCGGGGGACTCGCGGCCAGAAGGAGGGGGGACGCGACGAACTGGACCCGAAACGAGAGGGTGTGCTAGGTGACGAGCCAACGAGCAGAATTACGATGGAGACAGCGTTGGAAGAGACGACGACAGAGCACTCCGTTCACCCGTGATATACTACCATTATTGTGGACGTACGCGCATATATGAATGGGCCCTCCGTCTCCAAGTGGTTTGGTGTGCACCACGCTCAATTACCTTGAATTATTTAATCGCAAGTTGCAAGCTATGCGTAGAAAGAGGGCGAAACTTTTACGTTATTCATTCTTTGCATAGCATGAACTGATCACGGAAGTTTTTTTTTCTTCCATTTTTTCCATTAGAAGCATATCACTCGCGAGACCGTAATGATATTTCTTCCTTTTCGCTGCGACGGACTAACTACTCCATTTTATCTACAGGGGGGCTGGTCCTCGTGGACAATAAAGCGCGTTGTAGATGAAAAGTGATTCGAGCTGAGATGTTGTTCTTTCAAGTTGAGCATGAGCTTCATTGAGGAGGGTTTGCAGCTCTCTGATCTTAGCGTCATCCAGAGCGGCTTTTTCTTGCCACCTTCTTCGCTGGGCTTCATTAATGGACTGAGACTCCACAGCCTTTTCTTCTTCTCGTTTGTTTTCCGCGATAAGCTGCGTCAAACATCCCCTCAACCGTACAGCTTCGGCTTGAGTGTCCTCAGCTGTCAAGCTGGCCTCCTGGCATCTCGCCCTCTCATCTGCAATTGCCGTGCGCAATTCTTCGATAAGTACAGAATTTGTTTCACGCTCGGCGACGAAAACATCTATCTCTGCCTTGGCTTCGAGGAGTGCGCTTTGCAGCTCCTTGTTATTGACCAGCAAGTCGGAGCGTTCCTGCTCTACCTCGGCTCTGGCAACGCGCTCTCGTTCAAGCTCTGCTGTCGTTGACGCATTTAAAGCACCGAGCTTCTCGAGCTAGCGCGGACAGATGAGTCGATTACTGCACGCATATGTATATTCTGAAGATGGGGACTTACTTTACAGTGCTTAGATGCTAATTCTGAGGCATGTCTCTCCGTCGCGATAGCCAGCTCCGCCCGAGCATCGTTCAAATATTTCTCCGCGTGCGTTCCGTCCGCTTCATGACATATACACGATGAGCTTGACTTGTTTTCGACCACATCTTTCATGGCCGTCATCGTGAACTCCAAATTCTTCACGCGCACGAGGAGTTCCTGCATGATATCAGCCTGGGATGTCAGAGTATCAACATTCTTCCCCTAGATTTTTGGTGTATTAGGACTCTCATGACGGATAAAGGTTACATCCTTCACCTCGTGTTTCGAACTGCCATCCGCTTTCGAATCCTCTTGATGGTCCGACAGAGGTAGCGACAGCACGGACGCTGATGGACTCCTGTGGCCTACTCCCAAAAATCCAGGATTAGCATAGTATTTGTTTTTGGTTGATCAAGATACTGACTGTGGGTAGTATCGAGCGAAGGTACACTTGGGGGGCTTTTCAAACGATGGGTGCCTAAGCTAGCTGTGCTGCCGAGGCGAGCCAATGTCCATGCCCGGACTGGTGGTTTCTTGACCAGTGAGTGATGATCGTCTGACATAGATGCAAACCAAACTGTACACAATGCAATATAGAGTTGGCTCTCGCTCATCCACTGGCAGTCAATAGAGGCTATGAAGCTCCGCTCCAAGCAGTCCAGGAGTTTATATCCGCCAGCTTGCTTCAATGCTTGCATATATTAAAACTCTATTTCAAATCTCCCCAATGCCGAGCTCCTATTCGGGGAAGACCCGCTGCGGATGCACTTCACATATGCCATGAGGCTTCTCTCCGCGCAGGATCAGGAGATTCATTCTGGAGCTAGCCAGTGTCGAAAAACACACCAGTACGATGAGGTGCAACTTCTGCGAACAGAGATCTTCGACGTTCTGGATGACCTCGTGATAATCCCCGGAACTTCGGAACTAATAAAGTAGCTTGGCTGGAATTCGAACGGCAGCAGTGTTAATAGAAAAGACATTTCATGATGATGACAGCTTCCGGTGGCCCGTCCAGGATAGGAACCGCGTACAGAATTCCATCCACGGAACAGAAACCCACAACCCACACAACGTGCTGAAAGCGAACCCACTACGCACCTCTAATCGCACAAGACATTGCGGATCTATTACTTCCTCCGCCACCGCCTGATAGCGTTTCCGACACTGAGAACACCCGCTGCAGCTGCCAGGACTCCACCTGCAGGCGATGCTGCAAGAAATGCTATTCCTGTAATGGCCCACGCTATTGCCTCCCCCCGCCGCTTCCCTTCGTCCTGCTTCTTCGTTTCTCCTTTCCCCGCAGTGGTTCCTGCGTGTTGCGCCGGGCTGGAGCCCTTGCTTACAGACTGCACTTGTTCTTCCCCTTTACTGGGATTCGATGCTGGCTTCAGCTTACCCTGCGGCGTGGGAGATCCAGGGGCAGCCTTCTGTACTTCAGGTATCACCGGCGATTTCTGCGTTGACGGGTGCTGCGCTATGTTCTCTGTCTGTCGTTTGGACGATGAAGCTAGTCGCGAGGCGCTCCCCGTATCTTGTTCTGTGTGCCTATCCTGCGATGTCACATTGGGCACTGGTGAGGTAGCGGATTGTCTTCCATGTCCTGGACCGCTTTGCTGCTGCGTTGCATGCGAAGAACCCCCATTTTGCTGAGTCGTGGATCTCGAGGCGTTTTTGACAGGCTCCATTTGTTGCGTCGTAGATACTGCACTTGGCGATGAGGGTCCCTGAGTAGCGTGGTTCGCCTGCTGACGAGTGCCCCTCAGATTGGGTACTTCCCTTGCACGTTCGGCATCCGCTCCCCGGGGAGCCTTATGAGCTTTGTCGTTTACTTCCCCGCCCCTCTGTGTCGACTGCATTCTCAATCCTTCGTCTTGGCGTTTAGTGAGCTGTTCGACGTAAACTTAGCTAAAAGTTGTTCAATCATCAAACGAGATTGGGACCTGACCTTTTGAAGACGCTCACGGAGAGTTGATTCTGACTCGGCCTGAGTGAGAGTCAATAGGCAGCAGAATAAGTGTCAATTTATTGCTACCTTGGCCTTCCGCACTGCATCGTCTAGTATGCGTTGATGCGCAATTTGCAGCTCAGTAATTTCTGCGTCGTGCTTGATTTTTTTATCCTATACTATTTATTACTATGAAATAGGGCCTCTCAATGATGAAGATCGTACCTCGAGCGCTGTCATTAGCCTGTCCAGCTCTCCCTGCAGGATGTCAAACCTACCCTGGTAAGTATCTTCCGCTGCCTTCGCTGCCTCAGATTTGACCTTCTTGTGGTGACTACGTTCTTCCTCCAATAATGCCTCTAGCTTCTTGACACGAGAACCTCGCTTGATTGTATTCGTATTACACTCGTCCAACTCCGCTTGCAGCGCAACAATGTTGGATTCGATTTTCTCCAGTTCCGCGGATTTAGTCGCCTCTTTTTTTCTACTCTCGTCGAGCTTTCCCCTTTGTAGTAAGTATAGCCAATCCTGCTCCGTAAAATATGACTGACCTCTCGACGAAGACCTGCTATAACAGAAACATGCTGCTCTCTTTCGGCGATAAGCGCAGACAATCGTGTCTGCAAATCGCCGAGGTCCTTCTCCGCACGTCTTTTTGCCTCTTCAGACGAACGCAAATCAGATCTATGCTCGTTAGCTTCGACTCTCATATCACTCAGCGTCGACTCCAATTTCGTCGCTTGTCCCAATAGCGTCGTTATCTGATCGTCTTTTGAAGGAACCGAGTCACCCGTGTCAATCTGTTTCGCTACAATTAGCGGTGAATAATTGCTTCGTAATCTGACACCCTCACCTTGTTGGGCAGGTCATCTAGAATCTTCGGTTCGTCGAACAGAGGAAGTGACAGTATCGAGGCTGTTGGGCTCCCATGGTTTATCTCGCCTGGGGGAGTGGTATTTTGAGAATGTATTCTATGCTATTTAGTTGGTGAGAGTACCTACCGTTTGTATTGTCAACGGCGACGAGCGAGGCCTTGCTCGGCCGACCCTTCAGTCGAGAGCCACCACTGTTGCTCATCAGAGCAATCGCCCATGGACGCAACTTCTTCGGGTTAGCGTTGGTTGCCATCGGGATAGATAGTTGTCTGAATGTTGAACAGAATGAATCGACGATGAGTGCTCTCGGTCTCGGATTTCTCAGCAAATAATCTGGGGTATTATACTTCTCGAGGATCTTGCACGCACGGCAGCTGCATGTAAGTCATTAATGATACTTGTGACAGTAAGTGCACCATGAACACACTTTGCACAGGTCTTGGGTGCGATCCCGGCTAAGCCTGGGCGCACAACATGCTTGTCGCAGTGGAAGACAGGCCCAGTGGGCGGTCTGTATGAGAGGACTGTATATGCAATATCACAAATGAACGATTCTTAGATTGAGTGCGCACCTCATCCTCTCGGCTTGTTGTTGTCAGTATCTATATGCTCCAGTGGGCTGCGCTATCATTGCCGCCTGTAACATAGTGAAGCATCAGTTTCCATTAAGATTACTTCTCATATACTCCATTGCATAATAAGAGACCATAGCCTAACTGCCTGTATCCACAGATTTTTCGATACTATATATATATACATGGTTCTGCTGTTCATGTGTGTCGTACGCACGTCCGATGCTTCATAAGATCTACTGAGCCATCAGCGCTTGAAACACGGCTCATAACATGGCCCATGTAAATGTGCAAATGACACAACATGGAGCGTGATCAAAGGCAGAGTTTTCTAAAGTGATTGGCCATTTGCGTTAGGGTGAGGATTTGTATAGGCGAAATATCCGGAAAATTATCATCAATTAAAGACTCTATTGTGGAGCCATACGACATACCTTGACATCTCATCTTGTGGTTCAAATTTGCAGAATGATGATGGAGTATCATGTTCGACATGCCGAGCCTGATCATGGCTAGCTCCGTGCACTTTCCTCTATACTCCCCTCGTATACGTGCGTATGAATCATTGGCTTGTATGATAAAAAGCCTGCATTTTGTTGATCAGTGCATCAAAATCGCGTTGTCCCTACGCGCTTTATGCTAGCCCGGATATCGGCACCTACGGATGATCCCTTATCGGAGATTTGAACAGATCAGCCACACCCGATCTCCGACTCTCAACGACTCGGTCACCAGGCTCATAATCAATTCTTCAGAAAATTGCCATCTCCAGACCACATCCATCCATTCATCCATAAGCAGCGCACGCGCTTTGTCACTCTTATTTGACGGCTGAACTTCCTGACTTGCTGCCGGCTCGGCGTCAGCACTCTGCCATATGTCGGAGCTATAAGTAATCTCTCCCACCTCTATCCAGGTTCGACGTTGCCGTTCCATCGAGAATCGGGGATACTTATAACAGATGGATAAGCACACGAGATTCATCTAATCCACAATTGTGTATAAAAGGCTGGCACAGACATGTTGGTCGCTCACTTCCACCACCTCGTTCGCACCCCGCGCATCTTCTCTCTCCCGTCTCTCACAGCGCAATAAGCCTCTCTTCTTTCTCCTCTACACAGCACTACACAATGGCCTCCGCACCACTCCTTGAAGAGCTCAAGAAGCGTCGCACGTACTACAACATCTCGAACAAGTCCCCCATCTCCGACGAACGCATCAAGGAGATTGTTCAAGAAATCGTCCTCCACGTCCCATCCTCTTTCAACTCGCAGACGAGTCGCGTTGTCGTCCTCCTTAAGGAAGACCACGAAAAGCTATGGGATATCACCGCTGAGGTCCTCAAGCCCATTGTCCCCGAGGCATTTTGGTCGAGGACCGCGACGAAGCTCGAGAGCTTCAAGATCGGCTACGGCACGGTCCTTTTCTTCGAAGATCAGGTCGCCGTGCGCAAACTCCAAGATAGCTTCCCTCTCTACCAAGATAACTTCCCAGGATGGGCAGAGGTGAGCATGCCCGTCCTTTTCTGAATCGGCCATCTGACTGTTGGCATCGCGTTGCAGCAAACGTCTGGCATGATCCAGCTCGCGTTGTGGACTGCGTTTCAGATGGAAGGTCTCGGCGCTTCGTTGCAGGTGAGCGGATGCTGTTTCGCGCGCGTGCGGCTCACTGACGGACCGTCTAAAGCATTATAACCCTCTCATTGACCAGAAGGTCAAGTCGGAATGGAATGTCCCCATGGCATGGAACCTCATCGCACAGATGCCCTTCGGTACACCCACGGCACCCCCGCTGGACAAGGACTTCATCCCCATCGAGCAGCGAGTTATGGTTTACGGGCAGTGAGCGGCGGGATTATCAGGACGGAATGTAATTGACTAGGCCTATCGTGTATTTGATTCATCATCCGCATATCATAATTAGATGACTGGGCATTCCAATGGGATAGTCTTGGGGAAAATTTTTAACATTTGGACACGCTCCGAGTTTCGTGACCGCCTTCGGTGGGAGAAGGCTGGGACCGTGCGACCGGTACGCATTGCTCTGTCTCCATGGTGCAGTGAGGCCATGGCAAGCGATATCAGACTTTCCAACGCAATTCAGTCATCCGCGCGTGTTGCTCCGCGGCGCGATAGACCACCGTGATACAAGTTAGATAAGTAATGAAACGATGCGACTCGGATGGCCTCGCGAGTCGCGACGCATCCCAAAGTCGTTTATCCGAGCTCCTGCGTTACGGCGTATGCGGAAGATACAATGTAAAATTGTTGATGTGGTACCGATCCTAGGATGTTTCGCCATTCGGCCCGCGACGTGTTTCTTTTCCGGGCATGCTGCTACACGGAATTTCTGTCGTGCGAAGATATCCGTGACCGGATTTCGGCCCTGTTCCTAGGCGCAATTCACTCAGCCGCTGAGGCGCTGATTGCTGACTGACGCATCTGAAGGCGCCAATCTGCCTGCTTGGTGAGCCATGAGGCTAGCGGCCGCCGTCCTCCTGCGGCGACACCCGTTTCCATCCTCTGATCCTTCGCGGACCCTTTATCTCTTTACCCATACTTTACGACATTGCGCAGATGGGCCAACGTTCGCTCAGGTACCTTGAGAAGTAGCATTTAACGTAACACATCTCCGGCTGCAAGACACTTTACGGGTAGGCTAAATGTGTGCTTCATAATTCAAACAATGTATTTCAATGAGATGCACGTACTGTCACCAAAGCTTTCGCTGGATAGACCTTAACTCGGACCAGATCGTCCGCTCGTCACATAAGCTTTGCGTTTCAGTAATCGCAGACGGCTCCCGTCCGCGATCCAGACTCGCATCCCAAGACGTGGCTGTAACAAAGTACTACTCGAGTCTTCTACACTCGCCAGCTGGCTCATCCTTAGCGTGCACGACTTGTAGTTACCTTTAACTGCGACTCTAAGTAAACTTCGGCGAAAGGTGGTCCCTCAAGATTGTGATTCGCATGCGAGAACGCTTCAAGCTCGACTGGATCGTGGATCGACCACATGTGACATGGTTACCATAGTGACGTGCTGACCAGGGAGTACAGTGTGTTCAAATTTTCAAAGGCGTGGGTCTACCTGAAACCTATAGATTGAGAGCTTGAGGGTTGGTGCTGCTGGTTATCAGGAAGTTATCGCGCAGGACCTCTGAAGTTTTTTCACCTTGTTGAACAGTGGTCAAGCTTGGGTCAGAAGCAACTCGCAAATGAATTCTTGAAGCAAGATGATAAGATAAGTGTATTTGATCGGAGATAGAAGTAGATCTTTGGGATTCATCGCTAACAATTGCTATGTAAGTATCCACTATCCTGAATGCTTAGATGTCCGGCCCGTATATGTTTCATCGTTCATGTTATTACCAATTTGTATACAACGTGAGCACCGGTCACAGCTCTGTTGTCCGAGTCCGCAGGAAACTCGGTGTAATGTCTCTCTAGAAAATCGCACATGTCCCGTTCTAATTCATAACATGACCTCGACGATCTCCTTGTCGCAGTCAATATTCACATTCAATGTCAACTTGAATGTCAAATGTGAATGTGAGGAATTACTCACAATAGCCTGGGGGCTCGCGGTAACGACTCCTTGCCCCGGGTGCGCATCAGATGTAACTTAGTCCGGAGACTACAGGGTCCGCCTACCTATCTCGGGCATAAGCCTCTCAGCTGCATTGCACATTTTGCTCGGAAGGTACACCTCTTGCATCGCAGACCATTCAATCCGTATTACATGTGTGTGCTACTTTGTGGTCTGACGACCAATCCACATTCTATAGATTCGCGCCATAGTTCAAACAATCATATGCCATATGGCGCCTACGTTAACTACATGTATCAGAAGATGATCAATGACCATAGGACCAGCCTTGAACTGTATGCATACATGGAAGCGGAAGGTGAATAAAGATATACGGTAATATTCGCCGCAACTCTTGGCGTCGCAACGAGCCATCCAGATGGCTCAAATCCAGCTCGTGACTATAAACCAGATGGTACGTCTCCGACCCCCATTGTCAGGTTCACCGACGGCGGCGCCAGAGTCGCCCCAAGACCTTCCCCACACCCAAGACCTGTCCCACTGCTGCTGTCGCTTGAAGCATGGGCATGGCTATCGCATGGACTAGTGTCATTGCATTTGCATCTGACGCTGGCACACGCCTCTGCCACTCGTCGCGCGTCGGGCCGCCGGACTTGTGAGTCCTAGGTGGAGGCTCGATAGTAGGGCTCGGAGTCGCTGTCTGTCTCCCCGCAAATTCCGCCTGTGCTGTGATCGCTTGTGGTATCGCAGAGCCCGTCTCCTGCCTCGGGGGCATCTCCTGCTTCGCCGCTGTGCTGGTCGGTTGTTGGGCCATGTTAGCCTGCGATACATCGGGATTCGGGCCAGTATGTTGTGGCGTGGGCAGAACATCCTGCTGTTGCACAGTGCGCTCCTGCACGACGGGCTTCGAGTCTGCTACCTGCGGTGTCACAGCCACGGCACTCGGAGCCGAAGAGGCTAGTGTTACGGGTTCCGCTTGTAAGGATGCAACTTTCAGACGCTCGATCTCTTCTATGTTGTCTCGAAGTGTTTGCTCCAGGCCGCTCACGCGCTTGAGCGTCGTGGCGTGCTCCTCTCGAAGGCTCGCATGTGCCTTGCGCGCCCCTTCGAGTTCACGCTGGAGGTATAGGATCTCTCCGTTCTTCTTCTGCTCGATAAGTGCAACGAGTGGCCGCGCCTCATCTAGCTTCGCCTGCAGGCTGCTTGCCTGAACCTGTGACGTGCCCAAGGCAGTCTGGGCATCCTCTAGTTCCGCTTGCGTTGTCTGGATGGATCGATCCTTCTGTCCGAGCTCCTCTCGGAACACTGTGGCCTGCGTCTGCAGGGCTGTGGCATGCTCATGGGCAAGTTGCACCAGAGCCGAACGATGTTCAGCACGGAGCTGGGACAGAGACGTCGACGCTTCCGTCCTGACCTCTTGAATTCGGTCGCGGAGAACGGATTCGGATTCAATCTATAGAGAGTTAGCACAGGAGGCGTAGGAAAGACGGATAATGTCACCTTGGCCATACGGAGCGCTTCCTCTAGCATGCGCTCATGCGCATCTCTTAACGCACCAACCTCCGCTCCAGTTTTTGCCTTTTGGTCCTAGAAAGTGAATCAGCGATGGCCGCTACAGGCAGTGATCACCAGCCCACACCTCAAGTGCTGTGGCGAGCCTCGCAATTTCCTGCTGCATCGCACTCTGTCTGCTCTGATGTTTCTCCTCGAGTTCCTCCAGCTCATGAGCGTGTCCTTGTGCGGTGGTCGACGCATCCGACTTCGTCCTTTCATGGTGAATATGCGACTCTTCCAGGAGCGCTTCTAGCTCCTCCAACTGAGCAGTCTGATTCGCCACCTCTATACGTGACCTATCCAAATCGTCTTCTAATGCGCTGTTGGCAGCCTGCAGAGCCTTCATACCGCTAGACGCTTCTCTCTCCGCGCGTTCCTTCTCGGCAACCATCCGATCCAAGCTCTCCTTCATGCGCAGAGTCTGCGTCTGAACTTCGGCCACTTTAGCGTCCATCTCTTGTCGTCGTGCCTTCTCGTTCGTGGCTACCCTCTGCAGCTCCAAGATATATGCAGACTTTTCTTCGACCTCGACTTGGAGTGAAGCTCGCTCAGCAGCAAGAGAATCAAGACGAGTAGCCGAAAGCTGGAGCTCGTTCGCCATCGATCGAAGTTCTGTTTCGGTTTTGGAGAGCGCAGCTTGCAGCTCCTCATTTCGAGCAGATATGGCGGAACGTTCACTTTCCACCTTCGAGCGTGCGTTGCGCTCTCTGTCAAAGGCTGCTATACGGGCAGCCTCTGCAGCTTTGCTTTCGCCAATCTGATCGAGAGTAAGAGTCAATAAGACAACTCGGTGAAACGAACAAAATGATGATTTACTTCGCGACGAAGAGCTGCTAATTCAGACAGCTGTCGCTCATTGTCCGCAGCCAAAGCGGACAACCGCGCCTCCGCATCACTCAAGGCATTCTCAGCTTGCTCTCTTGCTTCTTCGGAAATTCGCAGCGCAACTGACTGCTTGTCGGCGTCGTCTTTCGTAGTGCTCAGCATTGTCTCCAGCTTGGTCACTCTGCCCAGCAGAGTTGTAATAGTGTCATTCTTCGCCGTCAACAAACTGTTGCTATCGTTCTGCAGCTACATGCATTCATTAGCTCTAGACATTGCGATATTCATAATATGCCGACCTTCTGTTGTGAATCTTGTACCTTGAATTGTTCTTGAGGATCAGCGAGGGCAAGTGACACTACCGAAGCGGCGGGGCTCGCACGATCTGCAGGTCCTGGAAGATTATCAACCTGTAAATACAAACACAATGCCATAACGCTTCAGGGAGATACTGACTGACAGTGGTGTCATCGGACACCAACGAAGCCATACTCGGCCGACTTTTCAGTCGAGCAACGGCGGTACCACCCATACGCGCCAGCACCCATGGGCTCCGTTTCTTCGTCGCGGTATCACCAGACATTGGTGGTGGTGTTGCTTCAGTAGATCAAAACACACAGCAAATAATCAGGTCAGAGACACAGTAGATGATGGTTGCATTCAGCCTTGGGCGTCGCAATGCGGGGTATTATAACCTCCAGCGTTCTCACGTCTTGCAGTTCCACAAACAGAACCTCGTCTCCTCACCGTGTTCATGGGTGCAGGTACCGCGCGCGGACATGCATGCCTTGCGGAAACCGTAAGGCCGCCGCCCGCGCGATCTCAATACAGCCTCGGAACTACTCTCTGGCCTTCGCAACGGTTCGGATAACGGCCTTGTACGCGTTCTGACAACCGAGCAGCAAGATGTTCACGCACCAACGGCGCCGCCATGTGAGGCCTGCTGCACTCGATCCTCAAGTTCGGCACGTGGCAAGCGCACTGGCTATGCAAGCAGTGTTCAAGCCTACCACTTCACCCGAAGCTGAGAGCTCCGACCGTTTGGTATCATGAATATCTGTGAAGACATTTGTAAATTCCCCATCAGCTTTGACACCGAATAGGAGAAGACGGCGTCCATGACTGCAGTCAGCCCCAAAACGTGCGGGCATACATGAACTGATCCCGTACCTGGCTCGTGGGTGGCTGTGAAATGCGCGCACAAACCATGCGGGAGCTAACACAGACCCGTCACTATCAGTGCTCGCGCACGTTACCTCGATAGTATACATCCGCCAAGACGAGGACCAGCCCCACACATGTGCGTTGCACCCATAAACACCATGAAATACGAATTTACATCAGTTTCCCATTGGTATACCCGTGACCGGCTCCCCCGCCCGACTTCTTCAATGCACGTGTCGTTGCGAACAGTACACTATCGATTAAGGATGCGACTGTCAGCACACCGCCAACTATAGCACACGTTCTGAAAGACGCTCAATTCAGCTGCGAGCTTATTCGGAAATTGAGTGTTACGCACGATGTTAAGAAATGTGCGAATGATTGCCGTGTCTCAGAGTGTAAGATCAGCATAGGCGAGATATCGTAATTGATAAATACACCTGAAAGGGAAGGTGATGAGTTGTCGAAAAAGCTCGTCACACGCATAGCTTACCAGGAATACCAGTGGCTGTATGCGCTATGTGCACGCCTTCCTTATTATCTTCTTGTTGTCCCTTGGTCAAGTCGCGTTCAAAATGTGTAGCGCTATACTGATGAGTTTTATACTAGCGAGAAAAAGCCTTGAGGTGAAGTCATTATTGGATTGACGGTATGCTCACCACTTTATTATCCAGCATGGCGAAATGGGTCGAGACCACCTTCAAGAAGTACTGGAACATATACTGCTGCTTTGAAGTCTAAAAATGGATTAAGTGGCGCGCCCAATTCCATCATTATGAACTAACCTTTCTCTCGGTATTATCCAGTGGACTCTCTATGCCAACGCGCTTCTGGAAGTCTCGCGCTCTGTGTCGTTCTTTCTCCTGGTCACTCTCGAAAGCGAACTGGTGGATGGTGTGGCTAAAGTCATGACGATTCTTGTCTTCCTTTAGGTATGGCACAAGATCGTACATGTTTTGCGCGGCCGTCCGGAATGATCGTCCAGGGGAAAGTTGAATATTTCCTATAACCTTGTTCACTCGCACTTTACCAGCAATGTTGCATCCTTCGCTTGCCTGCTCCTTTAGCTTTTCGGACCAACCCTCGTTCGTGCATTGCTCAATACTATCCGGGCGAGTGAAGCTCCAGCCACGGTCGATGTAAGCCTGTCGAACTTGGTCACATGTGTTACAACAACCACCTGGAGGAGCCTGCCCGCCATAACACGAGCCACAGTAGTTATCTCCTCGCTGTTCATTGATCTTGTCCAGATCGTTGCGCAATTCCGCACTCTTAGCCAGTGATTGGAGGGGTATGCCTTTCTCGTTCAGTCGAGTCTTGAGGATGTTGTGTGTGATGTCGGCTTGACTCTCCCCCGAAATGTCCATCACATCCAGGCTGAGGACTAAGATGCGAAATATTGAACTCACAGATACCTAGCAACATTGAACAAGACCACTCACGATAACATGGTACTCTGGGAAACGTCACGTTCATCCTCACGTTCAGCTTCTCTCCTCTACTCTTATCGACTACTACGGACGTGTCAATTTTCACCTGACGATAGTCCAAGAATTCCATCATGGTGAATGCGAGTATAATTGCCGCAGACAAGATGGTTACTAATGCAAGTACCATGAGATATCACGAGAAGTATACGCCTGTGTTGTCGACTTACGGAATGCACCGGTACGAGTCTTGACTTTAACATCGTCTGTCGTCTGTAGCTCTACTGAATAGCAGAAAAGAGCATAAGCATGGGTGGACATACCTTGCCAAAGGCATCAACGCCTCTTAGCGAGGCGAAGAGACCCTTTGCTGGCATTTCAACTCAGAACACAAAAGCCCAGTAGAACAGAATAAATTGGAGGCAAGCGGAATTCTGGGCCCAGCCAGCGCGCAGATTAGACCGGGCGAGGTAGATGGAAACCACTGAGCTGCAGTACGTGTCTGCTCAGTTTGCTCGCCCCGAACGCGCTTTCGGTATCTGACACGTGTATGGATCACATGACGGCCGCGTCGTAATGATGCCACGACGACCGTCGACCTCGGAATGACAATGTGCTTAGCATTCCATCCGAACACTTTCAACGTAACCTTCGATTTTCTTCCCGCTAAGGCTTGTACAAATTTGACCTGCTTCTAGTATATTATGTAGCATACCGAAAATACTAGGGACTCATAGACTCTACTGCATGCTCCCTTTACCCGCCTACTCGGAGGTGAGTTTAGGTCCAGGTCATGTCGCAGTCCTTTGATGTGCATGAGCTAAGATCCCCGAGAATAAGACTCTAAAGTATTGGATTACGCTCCTGCCGCGCGACTGCACCGCAGTTTATGAAGATTGATACCTACGCACCAGCAAGCCATACGATAAAGTCGAGCATCATCGAGATAGAGAGCGATGACATGCGGGATTTGACGATCTCTCGGATCGGTAGCTCTGACTCCGTCTTGAGGTGCCAGGTGCACGTGCTACTTTTATGCTCGTGTATCAGTGCATGTTGCCGTATAGGAAATGCTACTAGCTGCGGTATCTCTCACATGAAGTCGAATCATTAGCTGCTAACTTTGTATTACATATTCGTTGTCAATGTTCTCTTTTGAAGTAACAACATCAGCAGACAGAAATATGAGTTTTACTCCAATCATTCGTGCATGCAGTTAATCGGGGATTTAGGCATCACTTCTGTACCAGCCTAATGAGATCCAAGTAAATCCCACTCCAGCTATCATGGACTTTCGCATTTCGCTTGGCGGCTCAAAATTGGACGAAGACAAGACGAGGCCCACAATGCGCAGCTATCTACTCCGGCGAGGTGTCAAGTTATATGAATAACACGAGGTAAGTGGGTGTTGATCAGCTCTAGAACCAATCGAATGACGATTATCATTATCCAAAGCAGGCATGAGGATAACGGATGCCCCTCACACTGTACATGAGATCGCCGTGAATGCAACGCACTCTTCAACATTATCATGTCCTGGTGTTAGTGACACCAATCACTCGCTCCATGAGATGCTGTGCATCTCGGCAGGTTACCAAGGTCTGGCTGCGTATGTGAAGCGAGTTGTCTGCATCACCAAAGCCATGCTCGTTATGCCCGTCTGCGGGCATGCACCAACCGTACCCTCTTTGCTCTTATAAGCATGAGCAACTGCGATGCAAAGGCTCACATTTACCTCTTAATAGGCGTTGAACGGCTCTATCAATCACTCATCTCATATAAACACCCCCCTTCACAGCTCTCAGCCAGCTACTATCAGTACCAGAATGTCGTTCTATGATCAGACGAAGAGCTCACGACCATGGACGTTAGCGCGAGTTGGTGGGACTGCTGTCAGCCGGCTCAAGAGTGGCAGTTGGTCAAGCATGGCCTCCTTGATCTCTGACAATGGAACCGGTACGCAGGCGTATCCCTTTGATCAGACATTCGTTCTGACGTGGATATTCACACAGACGACAGTGGCTCCGTCCGGTCTATTCCCATCACTGGAGAGCCCAAGAGCGACGGCAAAGTAGGAGATATCGGTGAGCTGCAACGCAAGGTAACATTTCCGTAATAACCTTTATGTATGGAGAAAATGAATGTTGAAATCTTAGCTTGATGACGCCAATGCTGCATTGACGTCAAAAGATGACTCTATCACCGAGCTTCTGGGTCGGGTGAAGACGCTGGAAGAATCGCTTGAGTCGGCACGAGCGGAAACCACGCAGCAAATTGCCTCCCTACAGGCCTCGGATGAGGCGAAAGCTCGCGCAGAGACGGATAGTGCAGACCTCCGAGAACGTCTAACATCCCTGCAAGCAGAGCACTCCAGGGACTTGTTTGACTTAGAGGCGACCCGGAGAGAGGTACGTCAAGAACATGCCGTATGAAAGTGTAAGAGTTTACTCACGCTGGTCCGCCAGCTCGACAATACCAGAGCCGAAGTCGTGGCTCAGACCAACCTCATTACTACTTTACAGTCGCGTATTCACACAGCTGAGGCCGAGAGGGATGCAGCGCGGGAGGAAGAGCAAGCTGTCCGAACTTCCGCTGGAGAAGATATCTCCGCAAAGGAAACGGAGTTGGAAGCCGAGCGCGTTGCACGACTCACCGCTGAGGCCGAGCTCGAGATGGCTTATGCGAAGATAGCCGATATCGAGGCAGCACATTCGCAGACTCACCAGGAGGTACAGAGTAAGACGGCAGACCTTGCGGACCTCTCTTCTCGTCTCGAATCTCTCTCAGCGAATCTCGCTGCGATACACGCAGAGAAAGAGGATAAGGCAAGCCGAGTCTTTGACCTCGAAGCTCACATTGCGCAGGCGGAGCAGGAACGGGAGGAGGCCCAACGCGAGCGTAACGAGGCGCTAGACCAGGTTCGGAATCTCGATGAGCGTATTTTGGAGATGACGGCTGCCATGCAACGTGCGGCTGAGGATGCTGAGAAGAGGAATTGCGAGTTGAAGGCTGCCAAAGAGGATGCGGAAAAGAGAAATTGCGAGCTTAAGGCTGCCAAGGAGGCAGCAGGTGCACTAGTTGAGCAGGTACAACACGCTCGCTCAGAGGTTGCTCGGGAAGAGGAGATGATTCTAGTCTTGCAATCACAGGTACATGAAGGCCAGCAACGCTCTGAAGAAGACGAGGTTGTGGTCGATCAGCTCAAGACCGAGCTTGCTAGATCTCGGGCTGCTGAAGCCTCCCTTGTCGAACAACTCAAGACCCTGAGCCGTCGTGGCAGTGAATTGGAAAGACAAGTTGGACGGCTCAGAGATACACAATTTGCTGGATGCACGCTCCAATGACTATATGGGTACGTTTTCCTATTGCGACGTTGGAATTTCTCGAATGCTCACTTGTTTGACCTCAGCATCTATGAGTACGCACGCGGCGCACCTAGAGGCCGCTACATTCCCATGGTACAGTTGGGTGGACGCCGCACCAATGCACCGGAGCCATGATTCGCCATGTGCCTTGCTTGATTCCCCAATTCATCCTATCATTATTTCCCTTCATCCAAGGAGCCCGATGACGCACAGTAAACTGTGACACAGATCATAAGAGTGCAGGGCACAGTGTATATGTACAGCGTCATTCGCGGAATCTATTGTTTTAAAATTGTGGTCGTTTGCTGCCTGTGACGACTCTTTCTAGTGCATTTCGGGTAATCTACCTACCTGTAAGTCAGGTCTATGTCTTTTCAACCTGGCGTGCCCATTCATACGTTCACTACCTAGTATCTGCACTGAATCTGCACTGAAATTAATCCGCATGTCCGAAGTTACACACCAAGATTGTGCCTATTCAACCGATGCCAGAATCTACAAATGATACATATAACATTCATACAAGCTTCGACAGAACCTCAGACTCTTCAGTATATGTACACGTACACGTTCATCTGACTGATTCCCTGACCGGAACTCACTCTTCGTCTACTCCAGTCCTCTGCACTTCTTCTGTTTCTACCAATCCATCTTCTGCTAAGTCCTCGACCATGGGTTCATGTGACGTATGGTCAAGAGATGCATCCGTATGCCCAACAAAGCTGGACGCAAAGAGCCCGCTAATAACATATGTACGTAGTGAAGTGAATGCTATTAAGAGAAAAGTGAATTGTAGATGACCACTGGGGTCACGAAACTTACCGGCAACCACAACGATACATGCAACATACACCAAATCCTCGAATAATCCCAAGGCCTCGCAGCTGACGCAGTATCAGTACGCCAAAGTCATACAGAGAAACTAACCTGTCCATCGGTATGCCCCACGAGTATTCCAATAGTATCATGCACATAAGAATCAGCACTCACGGCGACCATACTCCAGTTTAAATTAGGCGACAGGCCTACTACTCCGTAGAGCATACGCATATATCTATTGAGAAAAGATATTACAGTAGCCCCGAAGAATTTGAACGTCCAAATTACCTTCACTGCTTGAGACAGGGTGGCAACGTATTCGTATAAGACTAGAGCTACAACAAGGTGGGTCTAGAGCTTGATGGGATATTATGGAGGGCTACATACATGAGGATGCAGTTTGCAGCAAGGTTTGGGTTCATCTACACGCCAGTATTATCTCATAACGATCACAGTCAGGCAAAGATTGGAGGCGTACATTACCTCTAAGGCTGCTAATGGTAATTCCGTCTGGGCCCGAGAGGACCCTACTGGGCGAGGTTGAATGGCTTCGAAAGGAACCTTGGGGGAGAAAGCTGGCGACAGAAAACGAGATCAGACTAGAATTACGCTTAGTATATAGCGCCGTAACCCGGAAGTCGATGACAGATGTAATATGACGGGACTTACTTGCACGTTTCTGTAAAGCTGGGGCCTGTCTACAGCATGTGAGCCACTGTATTTATAGCAAAGTACATCAGGCCGAATCCTGAGGCTGCAAGACACCTGGGATGCTGAGCCTACGGCAGGAGTTCTCTGAGATAGCATTGAATAACTACGACTTTCCGAGCGCAGATAACTTGCCCATGTTTCGCGCTGGCTTTCAGACTCCACCGCGATGGTGCGGAATGTACAGGATTATACGCGCCTTGGAAAATCTGAGACATCCGTGAGCACATCACGTCGAATTTTAGGGCTTGTCTCCATGGGACCTACATATGAAGGTGGCGGTGGAGATCCGAACTTCGAAGAGACCATTGAACATAAGAGTGTCACTACCGGGCTTCCGATCTGTCCCGATGGATAGAACCATGGAACGAGGATACTTCACTTCACATCGGCAGCGGTATGGTTCGCTATTTTCAGTGCACAGTTATTGAAACGAAAAGATCACATCCGATTAAATATCAAAGTGCATTTGAACCTAACCTTGAAGTCACAATGAAGTCGCAACTCACGACCCGAACGTGAACTCTTATCCTTGAAAAATTGAGCAGACAATGTCTAAAATTTAGCGCAGACGCATAAACAGGCAAGGTAAGCCAACCATTTTCATAAAATATCACTACTGTGCCCAAATCAGTGTATTTTGGTTGAGCTAATGTCATCATCTGTCATAAAAGTTGGTGTGGTCTATGATTGATGGCTCAGCCATACCCAGAACCCAGCATTTGACTGTTGTGCCACTTTTGCTACATGTTGGAATGTTGCGTACTTTACTGGGACGCTATTCGGTCCACCCCTTGCTTGACTTTCCCGAATAGGTTTTTCACACCATCCTTGATCCCTTCCGCTTGCACACTCACACCCTCTCCGCTGGTTCTGTACACACCGGTCCCACCAGGACCACCCAAACTGACGTTGACACCGCCGAGATTGAGGTTAAGCGATGGCATGGTACTGGAGGCACCCGGAGGGGGATCGTATACAGATGCCGGGAAGTTGGCCGAAGCGGACCGAATCATCTCCACATAGCTAATATGACCATCAGAAAATGTCAGACCCTAGCCTTGATTACCATCTTCAGAAACTATCTCATACCTCGATGAGTTATGTATGCAAGTGCCGCCCAGCAGTAACCGCGTCCCAGCGGCAGACGTACCGCTCTGAGCAGATTCCTGATTCAACAGCGCCACTGTTCTTGCCTCAGCGTATGTAGTCCCTCCAATCATGAAGATTATAATATCTTGTGGCCTGAGAGGATATCAATGAATAATATGGGAAGTACCATAATATAAGATATTCGTACCGCTGAAAGCTAGCGTTCGGACCCGCACCCTCCAAAAATGGATGGCTAATGTCCCGTAAGCGACCCTTGAACAGATTTTCGAGGGTCTCCGCAAGATGTGGTTGATGCTGCATGTACACATTCTCGACACCCTTGAGACCCTTCAGCGCGGAACGGCCTTTTGCAAACAATGACTCGGCCGAGAATAGGTCATCTTGACGCTGATCCGAGCCAGCAATATTGAGGAATACATACACCAACTGCAGATAATCGTTAGGAGCAAGGTCTCAATCAATCGGGTGCCATATGATAACGTACTCGAGCATCTTCCCGACTGACGCCATTCTCAAGCATGAGACTGATCAGAGAGGCGACATTATGCGATTGCATCTTCTGATAGCGCAGTGCATAAAGAATGACAAGGCGGAGTTTATTCCACGGCTGAATCAGTGGGTTGGTAATCAGCGCTTGTACATCCTTCAGCACGTTATAATCAGTCGCTGCATCACCGATTTCATAGCTGACTTACTCGAAGATCCGCTCCAGATCCGGTTGCTAGGCCTTGCTCGACCTCACCAAGATCCAGTAGCTTGTCTCGGTCGACGATTCGGCTAAGTTCCCCAACGATGGCCACATGTTTACTCACGTTGCCGCCGAGCTTGCGGAACTCGGGGTACTCTTCAACGAAGCGTTTCATGTCGCTGATAGAGTTAATTGACTCGGGATTATTGGCAAGGGAATGCGACTGGTATGACTGCACATAAGCTTTGAGAGACGTGCCGAGGTCGCCAAATGTTGCGAGGTGATGCGCCTGGAAAAACGGGTCGGTGGATGGCGTGAGGGTGACTTCCTAGGACATAAGGGAGAAGGATCAGTTAGCGCAATATAAGATCGTGACCAGACAAATCTCACTTTGAGTTCTGGTCGTATGTCCGGGACGAGACTCAAGTCAACACGGCCATTCTGAATCCCTAGAAGCTCATGAACCATGGCTTGATATGACCATTGTGAGAGCAATGGGGTAACGGGATCATTCCTCCGGTCGAGGATCAACAGCAGTGGGGGAACCTGCGTCAGTCTAAAGTCGAACAGGCCCGACTCCTGCTGGATACGATGCTACATGATGGATGTAAACTTCAAGCGCAAGGCTGACTGCTAATAGCTCGCATACCTGGATCTCAACTCCCAATTTCTTCGCCATGAGACTAGATTTCTCGTATCTGATCACAGGCTTTTTCTTCAAACTCAACAGTACTGCTATGATTCCCTGCACGGCACGCTCAAGCGCCTTTGGATCCCACGAATTTGGTGATGAGCCGTATACCGGATGTGATGCATCCGGAGTGTGATTCAAAGAGAATAAAGATGGCAAAATAGGCGCATAATCTGCAAAATATTCCTATAACTTGTATCAGGTGCTACGCCAGCTATAGGGCACAGTCCACCTACCTGGACCTCCCGGACAACCTCATATTCGTCTGAGTCTGCAAGACGCTCAATTGCAGTCTTGCTCAAGATGTTACTGAAATCTATAACGAGATGGAGCAGCGTCAGGAGATGTGGCAGGTAAGTCAAGAAGAGCGACCATAATTCACCCACTGACAGAGGTAGTATTCGCCATACTTAGGCTCACGCAGCTCCGCCTCGAGTGCCTCGAAGCTCTCGTCACTTGGTTGGAGGAAACACACGCATTTCATGTGCGGCATCCTATCTCGCTTTTTGTTGTCGAGTTTGTCGGTCAGATAGACTTGCTGTGACAACAAGGTCGACTGAGTGGATGCGAGCGAAACGATAGGAGTCTGGCACGAGTCGCATGCGTCAAACTGGAAGCACCATGAGTGTTGACACGTACTGTGTGACCATCTAGTAACAAGACTTTCATCGAAGAAGGTACGGATATGAGCTTTGAAATATATGTCTCCACGGCCTTGACAACATCCATGATGTCGACAGCGCACGACGTCAGGAAACAAAATGCGTTGAGAAACCACCTGCGACAGTCAGGAAGTTGGATTCGCTCCGAGGCTGTATAGCCGCTCTGCAATGAAGCCTACGCGCTTCGCGCGCGGTGGCAGCGCGTATTGATGTTACTTGAGTGCAAGAAGCTGTTATCGCCGAGAGTGCCTGTAGAGAATTGTCACGAACGCTGGGATTGTCAATAGTCCCAACGTAAGAAGCACTTGTCGATTCTTCGAGCAAGTCCTGCGCTAATAGACCCGCGACAGCGAACCAAAAATATGCGAGTGTCAAAATGATTCAGGATCTTAGCGAGCTCAAAATACTTTGTGAATGCCACTTGCAACGAGGGATGCTAGGTAGAAAGATTAGAGTGGAAGTTGGTAGACGGGGCAATGCGCGAAAGTCGCTGGCAAGAGGATCATTAGACGCTAGTGGCGCTTGGCTGAGCCTCACAAAGTTCCTTTCCTACATACTTGCGCTTGCATATTGGATCTTTATCCGAGGTAGGTCTCACATTGCTACTCAATTGATTATTTAACCATTTGTGATATTCATGCAGGACCAAGGCGAATGTATTTCGCTTGAGTTCCGCCTTCTGTCGCAGAAGCTCTCTGGGAATGTCTGAAGGTTAGAGGCCTCTTTCATTTGGTATACTCTCAGGAGATCAGCTATCTGAGACTACCGTCGACACAGAGCCCTCAGGCTTCCCTGCCCAAGAGCTCACCGATGCTCTAAAGGAACACTCGTTTGGTCTACATGGGTTCGAGCTGATGTCGAAAGACCCCTACGAAGCTGTTTCTCGCGTTGATCTGCTTGAAGGGAGCTCAGTGATGATATCGCTTTCAGCGAGAGGATACAAGGTATGTACGGAAACGCATTTTGCTTTTGATGTTGACTTGCAATTGACGATGGTAGCTCGAGAGCGGTTCAGAAGAAAGAAGCAACTCTGCGTCGATGGACATGCATACACTTTATGAAAGTGTTGAGTATGTCCTGATGTCTGTCAGTCCGCTTTATGTGGCGGCGAGGCAGAGCATACTTTTCGCAAAGCTCGAAGCGCTATCCTAATGTTCGTAATTTGCTATGCATTGATGCATTATTTCTTCGTAACCAGTAGTATCCTATCTCGTTGTTACTATCCGACTCGAGAAACAGTGTTGAGTGTCCGATGATGTTACATGTACTACATTCTACATATTTGTACAAATGCAATCATCAATGGTTTGCGCACAAAGTCCCAGAAAACTAAATCCACAATCACACTGGTATATCTCTCGAACCAACCGAAACTTCAGTGATCACCGCGTCCCCCTCCTTTTGCAGTTCTTTCAAGTCTATAGATTCGAAACGATCTGTCCCACTGTCTTCTGTTTCTAGTTGGGTGTGATCCAGGGTCACTCCCAGATGGCCAGTGATGTAGCCCACGGCGAAATCCATATCGGGTTCTAGCGAGTCTGATGCAGATTGAGACAACGAATCGCCGACACCGCTGCTAGCGACGGAGAGATGGCGCAGGTTCAAGATAAACCGGGAGACTAGGATGGAGGACAGTCTAATTGAATGAGTATATGCGTCGATTGATGCGGCTCAAATGACCACCTACGGGGTAAGAAAATAGATGGCATAATTGCCAGCAGCTTGCGTCTGGGGCCAGTGTGAGCAACTTCTCGGCGCTATGAGTGGTATGAAGCTCATACTTCACTAGTATCATATCTGGAGTTTAGGATGATCTCGAGAATATTCAGAACCAGCATTACCCTGCAATAACCAAATCAGAGAAAGTATTAGATGAGCAGCAGGTTTCTATACATGAAGTACAAGGTGCCTACGAAGACCTGATCAATATTTACCAGGGGCTAGGAATATGGATGCTCACCATCCTTAAGAAGAAGCTCAAAGAAAGGTGTTTCGACGCCCGAGGACTTTGACCGTACATAGAACTTGAACGTCTTGAGCCAGGTCACAATGAGAACGAGTAGGTCAGATACGAGTGCGCATGTTCTCGCAATAATAGTCACTGATCAGCTTTGGGGTGAATGTGTGCCTACTGAGCCTTGCTTCCACACTTACAGCTAACGTTTGGAGAGTAAGAACTACCAACAATATTATAAGTTATAAACTCACTTTTTGTACAGAATGAGGGAATAATTGCTCGTGTAATTGCATGCTGTATTGTTGCCCAGCACAACGACAACCGGATACGATTGCTGTGTATAGTAGTACTGAAAGTACGTGAGTAATGGAGTCTGTATAGGCAATGATAAATTACCAGATTAGCACCGGAAGGTACAACTCCTAGGAGAAGAGTAGCTAGAGCAACCACAAGGCGCATCGAAGACGTATGCGCAAGCGCATAGACTCGAAGGGCGGAGAACACTACAGCGGTTGGTTAGAACGGATATTTAAATATGTCCCGTAGTATCACAGACCTGCGACAATCAGGGGCAACGCAATGTTTGCGAAATTATAGAGCAATGCTATATTATGACATCTGACAACGTCCAGTAGCGTTAAGGATTTCCGAAAATGGAGATGCATTCGGAGAAACAGACCTCTAAGTTGGTCAGTTTTTGCGCATGAGGTATTATGAATGAACCGGCAACTTACAACATTCGTGGACCAATTGATAACATTGAGGATCGAAGACATTGCATATATGAAGAGAAGATAGCGATTCAAGAAAAAGATAAGTGTCGCCCCGGTCGCCTTGCATCTCCAAATCAGCTGGATTTCTAAGGCTAGAGTTATGACATGGTCATAAATCACTAAAGCTATGGAAATGCGAGTCAGTAATGCAGTGTCGGTGACCAGACACCGGTCACTTACCACCGACTGCTACTCCGACGTATAGCAGTGGGTAGCTATCAGCCTGGTCAGAGCTGTGAAGTACGATCGACGAAAATACATACCCGGCTTCCAGAACCTGAACGACGACCGGAGGGACTAGGATCGGGTTGGAGGACATAAGTATTCCTCGTAAATAGCAGGTGGCATTCGCGTGCGAGGATGGGATCACTAATGTGAGGGGACCAGGGGGAGACGGACTGCAGACATGCTCGAGGTCGGGTGTTCTATATATAAATCACCCTGCAGCGTTGGCTGATAAGACATGGTGCAAACCAAACCTCGCATCGGGTAGGGTTTAGCATGCAGATTGGCGCTATCACCAGAGATTCCAAATAGAGTGTAATTACTTCAGAGGTGATCGGGCAGTTCGTCGACGATAGAATGGACCTTGCCAAGCGTCTGTAATTGAACATGTGTTATAGTTCCTGAGCAGCATTGCCAATGGTCCCCTGGCTGCGGTCGCAATTGCCGGTCCTGCCAGCTTATCACGACATTCTTGTGTTGACAGATATACCAAGTAGACCCAGAGATTGCACGGATAAATGGAAGATACAGTGTAACGAGACTCACTCTGTTACGCCTTGGCAGTCTCGTCTGCGACACATCGAATCCCCTCGAGCCTACAACAGTCACGGGATTATAACCGGTAAGAATCGTTCGCTCTCTATTTCCGGATGCCCTTTTTCCAACCAGACTACTTTCCCTATCACACTCTACGGCTACCTATAGGACCATGGCATGAGATTGCTCCAAGTTTGATTGTTCCAGGGGGGTGGACTTTGATGGGGTGGCGCAAGACCGAATCTCATATCATGGAAGTGTATGAACAATACAAGTAGTTGGACAAGACGTGTGCAATCAAGCCACTGAACGCTGATCATGGCTTTCAAGCAGTATATCACAAACCTGGAAAAAAGTCTGCTGTCTCTGTTCAATCTACACCTTCCTCAGCCGATAGAGTCTGCAAACATCGCAGAATAGTCAACACACCTGCGATCAGGATAATTGGGGAAATGTTGAATACCTGTTGTGTGGTTTGTTCATCAATTCCTCCCAAGTGCCCAAATTCTTTCCGGTACCGCAATGCCTTGACGTACATATCATTCGTAAACAAAGTCTCATTATTCCTTGCCCTGACAGTCCTGATCATGTCGCCTATCCATGCCCTCTCCTGTTCGTTCCGCACACAATTCGCCCACCACCGATCCATACTGCTGCGTATGGTAAATGTATTCAGCTCCCCATTCTCACTTTGTTCGGAGAGTACGAAAAGAAGAAAACTAGCATTGAAATGCTCCAGTCCAAGCACAGACAGACACTTGAGGATACGAGTAATGCGTAGATTGTTGTGCGAGGAACCTGTTCAAACCAAACAATCCGATGAATACAATGCTAGACCTCAAAGTCAACCCCAAAAGTAATCCTTGGCCAGAAGACTACGGTGGAGATTGAGACGTCATGATGGACAGAATGTATTGCAGAACCCCCTGCCCACAGGAACCCCGCTACACCAAGGCGGCGCCCAGAGTCAGGGTGCCTATAGCCAATTGGCAATGCGCACTGGCCGGTATCAGCTGAGAACGAAGACTGGGGCCGGGATCATGATATGACACGGGCGTCGTATTGGCGAAAAATTGACTATATGGTACTCACGGGTAAGATTCCTGTACCGCTCTTTGTAATTTTGCGAACAACGGGCAATGAGACCTGTCTCATCGTCCTCTAAACGCATACCATAGAAATCGAGCATAAGCCTGTATGAGCGAATGACACGTTCGATCACAGAGGCATTGGCCTTCATCGTTTCGGCTTCATGGCGTTGAAGTGGTTGAGCCTCGTAGTTCATTCCATGTTCAGGTATGGGGAATCTACACGGTTGGCGTAATTCGTAAGTGGCGACCAGCGCTCACTGTCCTCACTTACAACCACTGAATGAATCCGTGCTTGTACTCTAGTTTCGTGTAATCCCCTCGCCATCTGGGCAAGAGGAGATATTTTCCCGGGAACAGCTGTGACGACAATAGCTCTTACTGCTCGTGAACATCGTCTATGTAAAGATTGTCTGGACGGCAGCGCAATTTGTTCGTGTAGAAGAGCAGGTTTGAGGATGACGATGAGTCGTCTGGATTATCGGGATAATCGTCCAAGAATTCACGAACATCGCGAGGAATAGTGCTGGACATTGTAGAAGAGAGTTATCCGTTTACGACGTGTGGTAATCGAAGAGGTCGAGCGACGGATTGATGAAGGGAGCATGTTGTATACGATATGTCCACGAGTTTAGGTGTATGTAAGCTACATTTCAAGTATATAGCAGCATGAATATCGTGGCTGTAGGCTAACTGGCCGATAAGTGTTCTCGCGCCGACTTTCGGCCGCCAAGTTACTCGACGCGAACCGCGATGCCGCCCACCCCGTCGTCCATCATCTCTGACGCACTCGGCTCCCTATCGAAGGCCGCAAATCTTGCAGTTAGTTGCCACGAACAGTGCAGTTATCTTGGATTAATCCAAACAAATTGCAGCTAGCCACTATTGAGGACCAAGCTCGAACAGATGTTGCACGCGCGAATGCCGAGGCGTCCGACGGTCGTCGTGAGCGCGACGAAGCACTCAAGGCCTTACACGCTCTCCGGTTAGAGGAGAAGGAATGGGAGCGACGTGAGGAGGCATGGAAAGCCGCGGTGAGTTTACCACTGTCTTCAGCCATGTGGGGATCGTTTACTGAGCACCCACTATGTAGGTAGATAAGTCAGAGTTGACAGTCAGTCCAGCGTGCTGTTTGACAAGGGGAAATACCTCTGAGTGAAATTAACGCTGCATAGGTTAAGCATCAGACTGAGACAATCACTCAATTACGCGGCGAGGCCCTTCAATGGAAGACTCAGTTACTTAGGCTGGAGGAATCGTCCCGCCAGGAGATCGGTGACTGGAAGGAGCAGTACTTGCGTGCTGAGCAGGAGCGCTGTCGTCTTTCTTCCCGAATAGATGAGCTTGTTGCGGAACAACTTGTGGTATGAACTCGCTCCTGATATCGAATACTCGCACTAACATATGAATTTCCTTGAAGTGGAACACACATACGAATGCTGCGACAGTCTTGGCAGCACCTCGCACACCATACCCCGAATTTTATGATTCTTCCGCGTCCTCCACCTTATCCACATCGACAAAACAAGCGTCTACCACAGTGTCCCACATGCCTACGCTCGCTAAATCCGGTACCCCGCGTAGTCAAGATCTCGTCGAAGTAGTTGTTCCTTCCTCTCACAAATCCAAAGCGATAATGCCGCTATATAGAGCACATGAACCTTCCCTTCGTTCCCCAGTGGCAACCCCATCGCGTGTGACAAAACAAAAGGTCCCTCCTCGCATTACACATGCAGCTTCGACTCCTACTTCTCGCGCCGACCTTGGTTCTCGTGGAGAAGCTCAGGTCAAAGTACAACAACAGCCTGTACAGCATGTGGTCCGTCGCGTGCAGGCGACAATCTCTGTACCTGTTAAAGAGGAGGATGATTCTGGTGCCGATGATTTGGAGTCTGACGCGTCAGGCTCCGCTTATGAACCTGAAGACGAACAGTTGATTAGACAAAGAAAAAGCGGCAGAACATCTGCCAGGAGACAGATCAGGCTTATTTCTGAAGATGGCTTGGACGGTCCAAAAGAGCAACAGCGTCACGCTCAGCGTGGGAGTGGGCGACACAGGCTTGTTCAAGCAGACGACTCCGATGTAGATGAACTTGCAATGGGAGCAGAGGTATGTTTTTTTACGAAGTCAATGATGTTGCGTATGATATAAAATTATCAAATAGGAAGATAATAACGACGCACAACGACTTGTTCAAAGGCCCAGTCTCCCCGAACAAAGTTCGCGTAACAAAACGACTGGTCGGCCCTCAACAGCCAATACGACTAAGAAACGGAAGCATGATGAGAGCGTTCCAGCCGAGAATGCTCGAGGAGTGACCGCGAAAGTGGCACGAAAGAAGTGATCGTGCAACGCTCAGTTTCATGAAATTTTGGTCTTTGGAATATTCAAGTGCGTGCCTGTCTGTAGCCTGCCTCCTGCTATTAGTTTACTTTTATCCTTATGATCATGACTTTCGACTATACGTGTACATACTGTGCGCACTCGCACATCTGTATCTTATCGCGATCATACGCTCATGGGCGAAAGACAGTTACACAAATATGGGAAAGAATCTGATAACGGCGTATCGAAGACAAAGCAGATATATCAGTTTTGAGAACAGTCAAGTGTTTGAGGTAAGTTCCATGCTTATAGTCTTAGTGCATGTCGACGGTGTTAATGTTATTCGATGAGCAACTAGTAGTATACAGCGACAAATGCGACGATGAGAAACAAACGAGCAAATAATAATATTCAAGCAAGATAAACTATACCGGCGAGCACAGCTCCAGCCATTCCGCCCAGCAGACCTGTTGCCCCAACTTTCCGCTTGAGAGCGTTGAATTCGCTTTGATGCTTCAATTGCAGCTCTCGAATATGCGCGATATGGAGGTTCCTGAGCTCTTCCTTCTGCGCGTGTAACGCATGGTGCTGTTCTTCGTGCGTTGTACGAAGCTGTGCGATTATCCCGTCCTTGGTCTTCTCTAACGCCTCCGCACTATGACAGAGCTTGTCAAACTGACTCTTCACGCTCTGAACTTGCTCGTTTGCTGCGCGGAGAGCTTCTTTGGCGTCGGTAAGTTCACCTCGCAAGGCGTTCAGCTCCTTATCTCGTTTGTCGATCTCATGGAGAGACGAGGTTACCTGCTGTTTCAATGCTGCCCGATGCTTTGTATACAGCTCCTCCACTGCGGATTGGTGCTGTGCGCGAAGCTGGTGCAGCTCGTCTGAACGCTTTCTGATGCCCTCCTCTATCTCTACCGCGTGGCGCTTTGAAAGTGTTTCTTTCGCCACGTCGAGGTTTTTGTTGAGATTCGCTCGGGTTTCGTTGGATTCGGAGAGGTCCTTCTTTAATTGACTGATCTCTAGGTTCCTCATCTTCTCGGTTTGAGCGGCGTGTCGACGGGCTTCGTCAAGCTGCACATTCTTAGACAGAATCTCTTGCGACGCAAGCGCAAGAGCTGCTTTAGACTCGGCCAGGGCGTCCTCCGTCGACTTTAATGCGTGCTTCTGGTCAGACAGCTGTTTCTCCATCCCTGCCGCGCGGTCCTTCATCCGGTGCAGCTCTCCGTGTAGCTCGTGGATTCTAGCATGGTCCTCGCCAAAGCGGAGGTGCCACTCTGCCTTCTCTGCAGTCAAGGCGGCCACTTCCCTTTGATGGGACTCGCGAAGCTGCGTAATCTCTAGGTCGCGATGTTGCAATGTCTCCTCCAGTTTCTTCGCATGATGGTCGCTGGCCAAGAATGTCTCTTTGAGCGCATTGTGGGCGTCGCGCGCGTTCGAGAGCTCTTCAGATAGGCATTCGATGACTTCATCTTTAGCTCTCTCGATTTGGTCTGTCCGTTGTCGGGACTCGTCGAGTCGTGAGCGAACCTTTTCCAGCTCAACGGTGGTTGCAGATACAGTGGCTTCGCGATCAGCCAAGTGCACCTGTACTTCCTCAAGCGCCGCCTCCTGGTCCGCAAGCTCCCTCTCAGCCTCTTGAACCCGTGCTGTAGAGTCGCTGACGCAAATCTGCAGCTCGCGGATCGCGGATCTATCCTCGTCATGAAGTTGCTCCAGCTCAGCTATCTGGGATTGCAAAGTTGCTACCTCATCTCGATGAGTAGCATGTAAAGTGTCGGTGTCGAGATGGTATTGATCTTCTTGTGCCTGCCATACGGTACCCTCAGTAACTTCACCAGTGCGTACGTCTCCGAGAGAGCTTACTTTGAGCTCTTCAAGCACCCTATTGATCTCCTCTGATAGTTGACCATGTCTCGCGTTATGAACCTTCTCTCCCTCCTCCAGCCTGCGACGATGTTCCTTAAGGACGGCTTCGCCCTCAGCTCTCTCCCTTGCGTGACTGTCTTTAACAGCCGCTAGCTGTGACGATAGGTGACCCAGTTCAACACATCGCTCGTCATTTTCCACCCGGACTTGCTGGAGTTCGTCTGCCAGCTGGCTGATGTGCTCATGCGCCCGGCGCAATGCATCTTCTTTCGCTCGCCGATCTTCTTCTATCTCCTGGGTTTTGGACGCCGAGCGGACAAGCTCACCCTCCAGCGACGCAACACGAGAAAGAGTTTGCTTGTGTTGAAGCTGAAGCGTTTCGTTCTTCTCATTGTTCTGCTGAACTTCTGCATACAGATTTGCAGCGCGCTGGGCGATTTGTTGATGTTCGTGGTCAAGTGATGTGAAGTCGCAGCGAAGCGCATCCATACGATTGGTCATGTCCTGGAGTTCGGCGTTCTTCCTGTCAGCGTTGGCTCGAGCTTCATGTTCAGCAACCTGGAGGTCGCTGAAGTCCGCTCGAAGTGACTTCAAGTTGTCTTCGACCTGAAGTCGAGTACTGCGTTCTGCCGCGAGAGTTGCCGACACCTCCGCAAACTATGGCGGCCATAAGTATGTTGTTGCATATTTTAGAGTCACGAGAGAGACTACCTGCAGATCAACATTATGTAGACGATCACTCGTCACCGAAAACTCGGACCGCAGCGAATTCAGGTCTGCCCGTGTACTGGACAATTCTGCCTCCAAGCCGGCCCGAATATCTTCCGAGGAGTTCAGCGCTGTCTGCTTATCGTTGAGCTGCGCTTTCGTGGTATCCAATGCGGCCGTTAAGTCGCTGATGCGTCTTTCGAGATTATCGACAGCGCTGTCTCTGGCCGCAAGAACCGAAATCCCCTCGTCCAGCTGTTGTTCAAATGATCAGAAAATCTCACACATGCTATACCATCGCAAAGCATACCTTCGCTTGAAGCTCCTCGACAAGCTTTGGCCCTTCCTTTACCTCCGCCACGGATGGCTCAGAAAGCGTCGAGCTCGTACCATCCGAATCGTCCACTATAACAAGTCAGCAAGGTGAATCTATAGGTTGACCAAATACTCCACCATTGGGCGTTTGAGTCTTCAGGGATGTCTTGCTTGGTTTTCGCCTTAGCAAGCTGACCACACTACGAGAAAAGCCTCGGCCCAAAGGAGACGGCCCGGGTTTCTTTGTCTGGAGCGGAGGCATTGATTGATGTGATAAACGATAGCGAGACGAACAATAAAAGAATGAGATGTTAAGCTAATGAGGTTGCAATCTCTGGTGTAGGAGTTGGACACAAAGGACTGGTGGGGCAGACGTGAAACCGGGGAACGCGTTTTGACAAGTCAGATGCGGCTGTGGTGTGGGTGGAGGCCTCGTTCTAGGAGCCAGCCCCGAGTGGTGTATCAGCCATGTTTCTGCCGCGCATTGCGAGTAAGATGAGAAAAGCATGCTGTAGGTCATTCACAACATTTCACCGAACTTGCCTATTTGAATATGAGTCCAGGGAGTGTGTCACTGTGATGAAGGTGCTTCCGAAGAAAAGAGGCACGGCCACCTCTAGCGACATTGTGGCTCATTCTTTGCCTCCATTCAAGTCGAGAAATCAGGCAATTGTATTCCCACCTTTGTTCTCCAGAAATAAGAGGATAGCACATTCAGCCACCGGCGTCAGTAGATGCTGCCTCATGTGAAACTTGTGGCCACAATGAGGTGTAGAACATGCTGATCTGGCAAGCACAACGCAGGAAGACTCGTGGTATTAATCCATAAAGAAGCTACATACAATAAGGAATCATTTCATCCGATGCGTGCCGACGGCCAAATATCGATACGTACCCAGTGCCCGTGATCTGGCTAGTAGCCCAAGTGTTTCATGCCACGAGGCTATTCAACATCGAGAAATGCATGAGATTCGCTCAGATATCAAAATACAAATAGAGCTCGAACATTCAGTTGATCCAGCCTCTCAAACGACGAGGGGCTATAGTTTTCCCCATGCATGCCTAATATACATGTTTAAATGTTCGTCGAAAGAGTACAACTATAACAAAGTGTTCATTAAGGTTGATCCGAAAAATAGTGCGATCCCACTCACATTCCAAGAAAAATAGTATACGATTTTCTGTGACATCACAGATACTTTGGAACCCGCCCAACACGATGAGACCAGGGATCGTTTATTGCAAGGAATTGTCCTGCAACGATAAGATAGCAGGAAGCAATAAAGCTACCTATAACAAATGTGCCCGTGAGGGTGACCAGGAAAGTACGCAGATACTGGTAGGGCTGAGGCTTAGATCTACCCAGATTCATTGACATACGAGATAACTCACTGAAAACTGTATGCTATCCTCACAAATATCGTCTAGAGCAAGAAACTCCACAAAATCCCCCATCGAGCAAGAAACTCTCGATCCGAATGCGCCGAAGAGAGAATGCATGCGTTCAAAAGTTCCCTCTCTGTTTGCAACCACTTGTCCGCAGGCGCAGAATGTCTGCGTTCCACCTCTGGGTGTCGATGCATCCGCAACGACTTTGCGTTTTGAGCTTGTCTTCTCGGGACCACCAGAATCTCGGAAATATTGATGGATACGTTCCTGCGAACGTCGAGCCATGACGAGCCGGTGGTCCAGCTCAGAGAGCCTCATACGCAACTCAAGGACCTCCCTGTGAAGCTCGCGATTCGACGTACGCAGGGTGGATATTTCTCGTTCTTCCTCCGCTACCCTCAACGCAAAGTCCTGTGCGATGGTATATGAAGTATCAATCAGTGCAGGATTACTGCATGATCGCAGGATTTCAAGTATCTCCTCCTGCATTGTCGATATTCTGTTCAACGCCTTGATCTACAATTGACATTATCACGGAACAGCACGCTGAGCATGGCATAGAAACACACGCTAACATCAGCCTGCCCGAAAGCGATTGTCGAACCGGCTTGTCGAACCATAAGCGACTCCACCTGGTCCTCGAGATCGTCTATCCTCTTCTTGAGATGGCTGTTTATAGATTCCATCTCTTGAAGGCTGAGGTCCTTTAGCTGGACCTGTGCGATAGCTGCTTCCAGATGTAACCCTAGACTATCGCACTCTGTCTCTAAATCGCTCAAAGAGGCACGAGCTTCCTCTAACTGATACAACATCAATATCGACATACTATCACACACGTATGAGAAAGCACAAACATACCTCGCTCTGTACGAAACTTGGGTTGAGTGTATCATCTTGCAACATCGTGAGCGACATCACAGGTAGTAATCGCATCGCTGCCACTCACGAGAATATTTGGATACTGGAGGCCTGGTGCGCCGATTTACCATTGATTTGAACAGGCCTGCATGTTTCTCAGCCGCTGCAGATAGACTGTCTTTGCGTCCGGGACGGAGCCGCGATGCAAGACTAGGTGTCATTAATCCGGGGCCTGCACGTTCAACAAGTAGGGGGATATATGGCATCTAGCTTGTAGCAACTATCATTATCAGAGTGCACGGACCGGCACCGGAGACATGAGGACCTACCATGGTAATGATCCCTTGGAATAATGTTAACAGGGTATCCAGATGGAGCGGGACGTCAGTCATACACGTTGCAAAGAGATGAAATCCATGCACTGATCTTCCATCCAACGCATTGCCCGAGCTCGTACTCTAGCAGTACACTGATGGGTGTCTGAGGATTCTGGCACGAAGGGTGAAAGTTAGCTGGCTGGTTCCCCGGTCCCGTATGCTGTCCAAGTCAAGCTAGTGCCTCTTTCCAAGTCACGGTGAGGAGTCGGCGGGCCATAACATGATGGCAGGAAATTTTTCATGAACGTACTCCAAAACCAAATTTTTGAATAGTGTCCAAGGGGATGGGAAACTCGAAAATCATAAGTCCGACAATGCGAATAAGATCTCGCATTTCAAGTTGACGGTGCCACTGGCAG